CTCTGTCTCTAAAAAAAGAAAAAAAAATACTGGTTCTTTAAAAAATATTCTGCTGCTGTGAGAAAGAGAAAATAAATAAACAAATAATACAAGTTCTGACTCAATACCAGTAGCTCAGTGAGTAGGGCACCAGCCACATAACAATAAAAGCTGGTAGGTTCAAGCCTGGCCTGGACCTGCTAAACAAAAGTGACAACTGCAACCAAAAATAGCCTAGCGTGGCAGGCACCTGTAATCCCAGTTACTGAGGAAGCTAAGGCAAGAGAATCACTTATGCCCAAGAGTTTGAGGTTGCTGTGAGCTATAATGCCAAAGCACTCTACCAAGGGTGACAAAGTGACACTTTCTAAAAAAAAAAAAAATTACTGGTTCTGGACAGATGTGGTAGCTCATGTCTATAATCTCAACAGGGGGATTATAGACAGGCCAAGATGGGAGCCCTATCTCTACAAATAAATTTTAAAATTACCTAGACCTGGGCTGCGTGCCTATAGTTCAGCAGCTAAGGCACCAGCTACATACAACAGAGCTAGTGGGTTCAAACCCAGCCCAGGCCTGCCAAACAACAATGACAACTACAACCAAAAATTGCCAGGCATTGTGTTGGACGCCTGTAGTCCCAGCTACTTGGGATGCTGAGGCAAGAAAATGGCTGAAGCGCAGGAGTTTGAGGTTGCTGTGAGCTGTGACGCCATGGCACTCTACCAAGGGCAACATAGCCTGAATATCTTTAAAAAAAATTTACCTGGACCTGGTGATGTGCTACTGAGGACGCTGAGGTAAGAGGATTGCTTAAGCCCAGGAGTTTGAAGCTGTAGTGAGCTGTGATCATACCATTTAACTCCAGCCTAGGTGACAGAGCAAGACCCTCTCTCTTAAATAAAAGAAAACGCTGGTTCTGACTCACTAAATTGTTCTTATAACTCATTAATAGATCATGACTCACATTTTGAAAAACTCTGCTCTTGAAAAATTGTTCTTAAGGGCGGCACCTGTGGCTCAGTTAGTAGGGCGCAGGCCCCAGCCAAACTGCAACAAAAAAATAGACGGGCATTGTGGCCGGTGCCTGTAGTCCCAGCAACTCAGGAGGCTGAGGCAAGAGAATCTTCTAAGCCCAAGAGCTGGAGGTTGCTGTGAGCTGTGACGCCACAGCTCTCTACTGAGGGCAATAAAGTGAGACTCTGTCTCTAAAAAAAAGAAAAGAAAGAAAAATTGTTCTTTACAAAAAGGTTCATTGTGGTAACAAAGTATTACAAACGAGCCAAACGTCTAAAACTATTGAATGGAAAAATCCTGATTTATTCATTTAATAAAACATCAGTAGAAATGAATTACAATGACAAGCAACATGGTTGTGCCTCAGAAATAAGATTGGCAGGGAGTGAGGGAAGCAAATTAACAAGAATGTATCTGCTGTGGCTGCATGTGTATAAAGTTCAGAAATTTGCAAAACTCTTTTTTTTTTTTTTT